CTCGATGATTGTGGACGAGTACTTGGCAAAGTTCAATGAACTGGCCTAATTTTCACATTTCAGGATTGCTATGCCTACACCGACATTCATGGCTGCCAAGTTCCATAGGGGACTTAATGAGGAGATCGCAGATCGAATTGCTGGAGCTGCATCCAGAGACTTCGGTACTTTGATCCAGCAGTGTCGTGACATTGAGGACATCTGCATTGTGAGCAAGGCCAAGAGAGCCAAAGTAGATGAGGTTAAGGGAACCAGTAGTTCCACTTCCTGGAGAGACAGGAAGTTTGTAGGTAGAGGTAAGGGAAAGCAGTGGGTTGCGAGGCAAGCGCAAATTCAGTCCAAGAGGATTTCGGCTCAAGGGAGTGCAGCTAGATCTCTTACTCCCAGATGTACTGGATGCAGGAAATTCCATGTTGGGCCATATGCTACCGGGCAGGTCATTTGTTTTCACTGTTGCAAGGAGGGCCACTATGCTAGAGATTCTCGTCGTCTACGGCGAGAGCTGCAGTGTTTTAGGCGATTCCATTGCAGATGATTCCTACTGCATCCACAGCGGCATCTGTTTTGCCACCTGCCACTGGCCGAGTTTATACTTTGGACAGGCAGCAGTCGGACAGAGCTCCGAACCTTGCGAGAGGTATAATTCATGTCGGAGATACTTTGGTGATGTATTATTTGACTTAGGGACGTTGCACTTATTTATTGCGAGCCCAATTGTTGTGGGGCTGAACTTACCCATATTTGAGCTTTCTCTATCTCAAAGGGTTATTACCACTGCGGGGAAGAAATGCGATGCTTCATCTATTTATATGGATGTGGTATTTTCTTTGGATGGTCGAGACTGTGTAGCAGATCTTAATTGTCTACCCATGGTCGACCTTGAGATCATTTGGGTACAGACTGGCTGTTGAGAAATTGTGTTTTGAATTATTGTGATTGCATAACATGATGTATGAATTATGTTTATACATTGAATGTTGTATTGAAGTGTTTGATAATATGACCTGAAGAACTACATTGATTGAGTGGGTAGTTGGCTATCGGTGTTTTGTGGACTATCCCAGAAAGGGATGTATCCGAAGAGGTCGCCTTTGAGGAGTTCCATCAGACGCTCAGTTGATGTGTGATTCATTGAGTGATCCTTGTGTACGAGGTACACAAGAGGCTGGTATGCCTAATTGTTCTTTGGCCGATAATCTATGTCATGGGCTTTCCTTTGGGGATTGGATCCTAAAAGTGTTGACTCTTAGGAGTTCTATGAGGGCACCGATTTGAGTTTGACTCATCGGGTAGTTTAGGTGCACGAAGCCTTTGGGTAAGCTTCATCACCATTGATCATGAGTTTTATTGGTTAAAAGTGGAGTCTTGGCATGTTTAATGAGTTGTTTAAGTAACTAACATGATCACTGACCTAAAGGGGTTTAAAGATGCATGCTTTAACATTCTAATGTGTTAAAAATGGAACCTTGGGAGTGATATCTCGCGAGAGGCAGAAACTGCATTATGTCGTGAAATATCCTGGGGTTGGAGATATCCGGATATGACCCCGACAAATATCCGGATATTCTGGGAATTTCGAGACAGTGACTGTTCTGTTCATACAAAACTGTATTTGGGGTCTGTGGACCCTAGATTGGTTAAGTTAAACCTCTGTAATAATTAACTAAGTCAGAATCAAATGGATTAAGGGCTTATGGCTTTGTGAGAAGCCTAATAGCATGAAACGTAAAAGGAAAGCGTTGTCTTTGTGTCATACACTGTTAGATTGTGAATGTTGATATGATTGTTGGTCTAAACAGATTATGATTGTGCTGTTTATGGACCTTGAGCTAGTGTGGACATTGGATTGGATTGTTAGCTTGCGAGGTAAGCTTTCGTGTCCTCGGTTTAGCCATTGTTGGTTCCATCATATCCCATGGGGGAATAGTGTATATGCATGATGTGTTTTCATGTATTGATTTTGAAATGATGTTGAGCTGTTATGTGCAAGTGCCTTATGATATGCATATGTTATTTCACCTAGACGGTAAGCCTGAGTATGTAGGTGACATACAATAGGGTGATTCTGTGGGTGGGTGATATGATCCCCAATAGGAATGGAGGAATGGATCTACTAGGAATGGAATTCTAACCCCAAATTCATCCACCAACACGACCTGTTAAGAACAGAGCGTATCTCACGCTACAGACCTCGGATTTGGGTGATTCCAAAACGAGGTGAAAGATGGCTTCCTGAATCATGATTTTGACACACGAATCACCGGAAAAGGATAAGGAATTCGAGAGATATGAATCCAAGATAATATAGAACGAAATTGGAGTTTAAGGATTATAGGTAGGCGCCACAATTCGAAAGAATTGATAAGCCCAAGAACGCCACAAGGATTGATGCCCTTGATAAGTTCAGAGATTCTCAAAAGAACCCAAGAGAACTAGTCTCACCAAAATAGGTTAACTTGATATTCCAAAATCTGTCTTCAAAAGCCATGGTGTTCCCTTATATAGTGGGCAACAACCATATTGAGTTTAACCTAAAAGTACTTACACATAAAAGAAGATAGACAACCCAATAATCCAGCCCAATAAGCCTTATTACAAAAAGTTTAACTAAATATAAGAAAATAAAAAATTAAGTGCAGAATTTGGGCCAAGTAAAATAAAGCCTTCATGCATATCCATTGAGGCTTATTCTTCAAGGTCTTCAATTTTAATTAAGTGTATCATTTTGGGCTCTTCTTCCTTTAGACTTGGGCTTGTCTCAAGTAAAGTGGTCACCAAGAGATTTAGAGCCTCTTTAGCCTTTTTAGCTTTTGCTCTTGTCATTGGGCCTCCAAGACCTTGTATGTCCTCCAAGTTTATTGTCTTGGTCATGCCACCTCCTATGTCCTCAGCAGTGGGTGCAAGTGGTGTCTTGCACTGATTGTAGGTAATAGATGTATGTAAACCCCCTGCATTTCTCTGGCCAGTAGAATAGTTGACACACATGACATGATTATTATGCTGCATTGCACTGATTTTGGAACTTATATTGTAAACTGCTTTTAGAATTTATATTGCACATGTAAGTGAGCTTGGGGTGGAGAGATCCTTGAGGACCCCTTGTCTTACTGAGATTTCTGTTTAGATATCTCACCCCACGTTTGGGGCACATTTTCAGGTTCAGGTAACTCGGGGGTTGATACCTCAGGCGGCAAGAGGCCAGAGCTGAGTTGAGATTTACGCTTTTATGATGATATGCTTGAATGCTGACATGCTTTATATTTATTATAATGTTAATTGAATTGAGACTATGTTGGGCTTTGTTGCCTTATTTGGTGAGCAAGGGAGTTGTCCATGCCACATTGATTTGACTATGTTGATTTAGATTCGAGTTGTATTATGTATCAGGATTATGGTCCGGGCTACGTGTTGTAGTTTCGAGATTTAGATACTCACTTATTTATATTATGAGGTTATTCAGTGTAGTTAGTTGTTTATTTGCAATTTACATACAGGCAATATTTTGAAAAGGATTAATTAATCAACTTGGCTAATAATAATGATGTCATAATTGAAAAGAAAAAGTTATTTTTGCATTTTAATTAAGCGTTGCTTAATAAGATGACATGATAACAAACTCGGTATACACGGGGTGTGTTAAACCCCTAGTTCATCAGGTTTTTAAGCATGAATTAGTATCAATTTGTGTGATTAAATGGATGGAAAAGAGGTTAATGTCCTGGAAAGCCCTTAAGTACAAGTTCTGAAAGCTTTGTTGAAAATTTACATTATCTTGTAGGGAAATGAAGCTCAAGGAGCAACAGAGAGAAGGAAGAAGATTCTGAAGAAAAGGGAGAATGCTAAGTGTTGAGCGCTAAAACTTCCAAACAGAACGTTTTAGCGCGCTGCTGCAAACTGAAGACAAAAAATTTCTGGTCATGAACGTTAAAACTTCTTGAAAAGTTCTGGTCTTGAACGCTAAAACGTCCAAGTCAAACGTTTTAGCGTTGAAGACAGTTAAAAGCAGTTGGGCATCCGTCAAACATGGACGCTAAAACGTCCAACGGTGAAAGTTTTAGCGCCCATGTCAGTTTCTAGTTGTTATTCAGTTGTATTTTGTGACTCTATAAAAGGGCAAGTGCCTTCACATTCTCTTACATCCTATCTCAGATCCTCTGATCTGACTGTTCACTTTCTCTGACTTTCCAAATTTTTTAGGATTAGTTCTTGTAATAGTTAGTACATTTTTATGTAATTGTAATTGAAGATTGAAGACTCAACCATCATGACAATGAAGTTTGATCTTTCTTCTTCTCTTGTTTATTCTTTCATTATGTCTGAGTAGTGTAACATCCCGTCTAATTAGGAAACTATTTAAATTGTGTTTAGGAATGTGGCAGAGTACTTGCCTTCGGATTATATAACTGTTTGCTTTAGGATGGAGTTAAATTAAATTAAGGAAAATTTTTGGTTGACCATGGAAGGTGAGTACCTATTTTGGGCATGTGAAATTCTAGTTATAAGCATAGGAATAAATTAATTATAGCATATAGAAAGTATGATACTACTTAGTATTATATGGGTACTCATTAAAAGTATGTGAGTAATTTTATTACAAAGAATAAACCTTTAGTAAATAATTTGAGGATACATAAAAATTTATAAGGCATGGGTCAATTCCTAAATGAGAGAACAATTGGACTTGTATATTTTGAACTCATTTTCCCATTAAGGGCCTCGGCCCAAGGGCTTGTGAAAGGGGCTTGTAATCATCTCAATTTTTCCTAACTTAGATGACCCTTACTTATTATAAGAAATCTACATGGTAGTTGGTGATTGGCCAAGAATCAACCAAATGGCAACATCTACCCATCTCAATTCTCCACCACTTGTGCGCCTAGGGTGAGTGGGGAATTCTGATTTGTTTTTTTTATCTTATCTAAATCCAAGCAGCCTTGTTTTACGATTGGCCAATAAGGAAGGAGTATTCAGTTTTGCATGTAACGCTACTGGCCAAAAATCTCACTTTCTTATTTTCTCTGTTGTGCGCACCTTTGGGGGGAAGATACCAAGTCTAAGCTTTGTTTTCCTTGCTGAACTTTTGTACAGATTGTGAGCTAACTGTATCACTCTTTCCTTCTCCTCATGCGCTGTGAAAAGAAGCCTCAAGACTGACTGCTAACCTTCCTATTCAGAATCACCATTTTTCCTTCCATTTACCGCTCCACAAACCGTGAGCTTTCCTAAGAGAGAACTCAACATCAAAACTTCCTTTCCCTTCCCTGTCTTACTCGACCGAGCTGCAACCAGAGGAGGCTTTGTGCGAAATTTTCTTGATTCGCTGTTACTCTCTTCGTTTAGAAGGGGACCTCCTTGCTGGCAGATTGGGAATCCAAATTCTGCTCATGACCTCACTGCCCCTCTTGGGTTCGGCTTAAGACCCTCACTCGTGGAGATAAACTCGACCTCTTGGGACGTTGGAAGCATAGGATGGCGTTGTCAAATTTGGGGTTGTGGGGTGTATACGATAAGGTACCAACAAAAGACTGTTACATTACTCCTTGTTTCGGTTTGCATGTAGGATTTAGGAGGAGTAGTTTATTGTCTCATCTGCCCTTGTTTCTGCTCCTTGGACCGTACACTGAACCAAAGTATGCAAGTATTAATAGCAAAGTGTCATGAATAGGGACTCATCTAAAGTTTAGGAGCTGCATCTTTGAAATAGACAAAACACCTAACCGTGCATGTGTAGGAAAACTGAAGACAGTGGGCTAAAATATTAATCTTTAATGCCTTAATGTTGTGAGCAGAATTTTGGTAAAAGGAAAAATAATAAGCAACCATGTGATGTCTAAAACCGAATGTGTGTGGGTGTGTTGTGAATCCTAGAAAATCCTTAGTTGTTAGCAATTAGGGGGATTGAGTATGTAAATAAAATACTGAACCTGTTGGAGTACTTTCCCTTGGGATTTCGTTGTTACCTGTTACTAAATTTGTAGAATGTAATTTTGGTGTACGCATGTTTTGAGAAGTGATTTTGGGGCCTGGAACGTAGCAGAAATGGTAGGACTGTTTATAGATTAATGTTTTGTTTAACTTGCATATGATAAATAAACTATAGAGACCGCATGCTGGGTGCTTCAATGACACCCTCTAAACCTTGTCAACATGGATATTTATATTATAAATGAGTGACACCTAATTAGTGAGCAGAACCGAACATGTATGCTAATTAAATCTTGGATTTTAATTGTTGTTGACAAATTGATTAAGCAGAGTGAAGTCAGAAAATTTATTAGGCCTAGCATATGTTTTGATGAACTGTCACAGCTTGTTTTTGGGTTTCCCCTAGTACACCTTAGGACTTGTAGAAAGGGTAGAGGAATGTCTAATTAGGAATTCTTAATTATTAGCCAAAGCCGAAATTGTATACTTAAGAAGTGGTAAATTTTGTTAACGATTGGTAAAGCCAAACCAAATCAGAAATTGAATCTAAGTGAGAAAGCATGTTAAAACCGAATTCACATGCATGTGTAAGTAATTTGTATTTTCTTTCAATTAAGGACAACTAGTAAATTAACTCTATGGCAGAAAATGTGTTTATTATATGAACTTGAGAAACCGAATTGGTACGTGTTGGGGACTTAGGATTTTGCTATAGAAATATGTTATTAATTAATGGGAAGACAGAAATTGGTGATCACAAGAAGCATGATAAATCAAATGAAACGCAAGAATAAAGAGGCATGGGAATTTCTTATAAATAAGAGATAATAGGAATAAAACTCTGACTTATTGTACCATTGATTAGGTGCGCATAATTATTAAAGTGTGGGCTGGTTTTAGTGCCGTTGATTATTGCGTGGACACAAGGTAAGTGTTTGGTGGTATTACTTAATGTGACTATTAGCTAGTGTATAGAATTGTGAATTGTTGCTCACATGTGCCTTGGATTAATTTGCTGTTATATGCTATATATATATGCTGCCTATGAATGTGACAAGATGGAAAATCATGAAAGAGAAGTAATTGTGATGTGGCAGCTTGGTACGGAAAGTACATGAAAGATATGCTATTATGATGATGATCTAGTCATGCATATACATCTCATAATTCATTTGTTTCTTGTTTGTGTGTGAAGCATATCATGGCATACATGCACGAATTCATGCTATTCATGGACTACGATATTTATATAAATATGCATATGATTGAGAACGCATCATATAGGCATCCCTTCGGTACCAGGGCATGGGACACTTGGCTTCCGTCCGCTTAGGCCACAGTTGGAATTCACCTTTGAGGGAGCCATTATGGAATATCCACTGTGATGGTGCGCGCACGACGGTGCTATGAGCGCAATGATGGCGTTATATACGCACTAAGATGACTATGATGAATATACATGACCATGGCGTTATCTACGCAATAAGATGATGATGATTAACAGCTGTATGGAATTTTAAATGTTGATGCGACTGCTTTATAATTTTGTGCCTAGTTTAATACTGTTGCATTATTGGTTTTGCTATCACACAACTGAGATTTTTCTCACCTCTCTGGGGCTGCTATTTTTACAAAATGGCAGGAGGAAGGAAGAGCATATGAGGACCTGATTATATGAAGTTTTACTGTAATTGTTGCTGTTTGAACTTGTTGCTGTCACTGTTTTTCCTAATGGATGACTGTACTATTTTGAGAAGTTTGGATTACTGTTGCCAGTATAAGTTTACTGTTGTTTTGAGACTTTTATGATCAGTTAGTGCTTTGAGTAAAATTCTGAAAACGTTTTGCGAAAACTATTTCTTAAGGTTTTGAATGCAGATTTATAAACCGTTTTGCGAGCACTTTGCAAGTTATATTTAGTGGGGCTATAGACCTCCGAATGAGGTATAATTCATATGTACGTAAAGCCCCAGTTGTGTACTTTCAGATTATATAAAGATTATGTTCAATGCTTGTAATTCCGAATTATTATGATTTTTACAAGTCAGGAGGTTTTGGAAAAAATACAACGAATTTTCAAGTACCTTACGAGTTCTGTTTCGTGGGGCTATTCACCTCCAATTCGGGTATAATATATGTACGCGAAGCCCCAGATGTCTAGTTTCTATATTACAAAGAATATTTTTGTGGATCGTTGAACTAGATTTTATACGAATTTTTCACGACAGCAATGTCTGCCAGGAAATTTAATATTTTCAGCAAATCAAGAAATTTGGAAAAGTGCACTCTGATTTTTGTAAGTGGCTCAATTTCAATTATAAGTTTTAATTAGTAACATCTAAATGATTTTTCAGTATCAAAGTAATGACGCCAAAAAATCTCTAATTCTGCTTAGCAAACAACTCTCTTGGATGCATTCAAGGGAGGGTGTGACACTAATGAGTCCTTTGTAGTCTGATTCAATGGAACTCAAGTGTGAATTTATGAATGGTTAATTGAATACTTTGTTTATCTCTTATGTGATGATATGAAGTTGTCTTTATTAATGCTTTCCAGCAAGGGAATAGTGTAGAAGAGGGATGTTTACATTATTCCTATAACTGACAATTTCATCATCAGTGTTCTAGTACTCAAGGGATTGATGCTAGGATTCTGATGTAATCTCAAAGATCTTAGTATTTAATGCATGTATTAAGAAGGGGATCACCAAGGGATTGGGGTTTCTGATTAATGTATCAATCAGGATAGTAAGGGATTACATCTTGATGATAAGAAAAAAAGGTTGATTAACATCATATGGGAGATAATTCATAGTAGGATTGATTCTTTCGTAAGTTCATGCTTAAGGGATATTGATGTCTGACTACTTGTTTAAATTATAATTCACATTTCATTTGTTTTATCAAATCTTAATTTAATTCAATTCAATTTCTGGTGACAAGAAATCAATGCAACCAATAACTTTTTGTATGATACAACTTAAGTATATATGGTTAATCAGTGTTTGAACACAAATCCTCGTGGGAACGATCTTTACTCATCATTTTATTACTTGTGTGACTAGTACACTTGCTAAATACATAACAAGTTTTTGGCGCCGTTGCCGAGGATTTGTTCTTCAACATTGACAGACACCTTTGGTATTTGAGATTGAATCCTTTAATTTTCAGCACTTTATATTTTTGTGTGAATTTTTGTTCAATTTCAATTCTGGTGTATGCGAGGTACTATTGATCCAAATTCTTTGTTGTTTGACCTAGAATTAGAAAGGACAATTAGGAAGAACAGGAATGCAACAAGAAGAAGACAGTTACAAGAAAAGGGTGAATCAAGTGTGACAGTTCAAGAAGAGATTATGGCAGAAAATCATGTGCCACCACCACAGAGGACACTGGGAGATTACATGACTCCCACTGTCATTCCACCAATAGGGAGTGTGGTTCGACCTACAGTGGAGCCCAATAATTTTGAGTTGAAGCCTGCACTAGTACAATTGGTGCAGAAGGAACAGTTTGCTGGAACCAGTGCAGAAGATCCATACCTGCACATTGAAATTTTTTTACTGTTGAGTGATATTGTGAAAATCAATGGGGTGACCAGAGATGCTATCTTGTTAAGGCTGATTACTCATTCACTGAAGGAAGACGCCAGGAGATGGTTACAGTCACTACCACAAGGGAGTATCACAACTTGGGATGATTTGCAGACCAAGTTCTTGGCCAGGTTCTTTTCAGCATCCAAGAAGGCAAAATTGAAGGATGAGATTACAGGATTCAAGCAAAAAGAGTCAGAGTCTATCTATGAGGCTTGGGAGAGGTTCAAGACACTTTTGAAGAAATGTCCATAACACGGTATAGAAGTGTGGAATCAGGCATCAATATTCCTCCGAGGGTTGACAACCAACACTAGGACATTGGTGAATGCCACAACTGGTGGTTCATTGACAACCAAGACTCCTCAGGAAGCCCTTGACATATTTGAGTCCCTAGCATCTCAGGAGTTTGATAATGCTCCAGTGAGTGATAGAAGAATGGGAATTATAAAACTCGATGGCTATGATGCCTTGTTAGCCAAAAATGATCAGATGATGCAAATACAAAAACAACAGCAAAAACAACTGGATGCTCTCACTAAGCAGCTATCTTCCCAAAAGGCTGCTTCTGTGGACACTAATTCTGTGTGTGCCATTTGTGAGAAAAGCCATGTTACAGATGATTGTGATTATGGGGGATCTGCTGAACAAACAGAAGTGAATGAGGTATAGTATGATCAGAGGAACCATAACAACCAGGGGCAAAATGTATATGTTCCACCATGGAAGAATAACAATCAACACCCAGGGTTCAGTTACAGTTCCAATCATCAGTTGAATCCTCCACTGCATCCTCCTCCAACACATTCAGCACAACAAGGTGATACCTCTGCATGGGAGAAATCTTTTGCCTCGTTATCAAAGACTACTCAAGGTTATATTCAGGGGTCAAACTCTTTTAGAGAAGAAACTTATGCTTTCATGCAAGAGACAAAGACAGCATTCAGGAAACAGGAAGCATCCATCCGGAATTTGGAAACACAAATTGGCCAGTTGTCTAGACAGATATCTGAGAGGCCACAGGGAAAGTTTCCAGGTGATACCATGGTGAATCCAAAGGAGCATTGCACGTCCATAATTACAAGAAGTGGGCTTGTGCTTCAACCGGTTAAACAAAAAGTGGAAGAAAAGAAAGATGGGGAGGAAGTTGTTGTTGAAGATGTTGTAGTTGAAAAAGAAGAAGAAGAAAAAGTTGAGAAAGATAAGAAAGAAGATGAAGTAGTAGTTAAGAATAATTCTTCACCTAAGAAGTTGATGAAGTGGGAGAAGAAGAAAATGGCTAACAAGCAGGACCAATCAATTAACCTATCTCCATATGCCAAAGTTCCTTATCCTCAGCGGTTGAAGCAGGAGGTTCAGAAGCAACATTATGCAAGGTTTCTGGATATTTTCAAGAAATTGCAGATCAACATTCCATTTGCTGAAGCCTGGGAGAACATGCCCCACTATGCAAAATTCATGAAGGATATTCTGTCTAAAAAGAGGAAGCTGAAGGATGGTGAGACTATGGCATTAACAGAGGAGTGTAGTGCCCTGATTCAAAAGAAGCTTCCTTCGAAGTTAAAAGACCCAGGAAGTTTCAACATTCCTATTGCCATTGGAGATGTGGAAGTAGGAAAAGCACTGTGTGACTTGGGGGCCAGCATGAATTTGATGCCATTGTCTGTCTGTAGAGCTTTGGGGATTAACAAGTTAAAAGATACCAATGTTATTCTGCATCTAGCAGATAGATCCATCAAGAGACAGAAGGAGTGGTAGAAGATTTTCTGGTCAAGGTGGATAAATTCATCTTTCCTGTGGATTTTGTGATACTTGACATGAAAGAAGAAGATACTGAAAGCCCTCTACTTCTAGGGAGGCCATTCTTAACAACTGCCAGATCCCTGATTGATGTTGAACAAGGGAAGCTGATGCTAAGGGTGAATGAAGAAACAGTTACAATAGATGTGTTTGAAGCCATTAAACATCCTGTTGATGTGGAGGATTGTTTCAGAATTGATATCATACAAGAGGTAGTGGAAGAAGTGATAGGAGAAGAAGACTTGTCAGTAGAGGAAGACAAATTTAAGGAAGAGATAAGTGGGGAATATTATCAGGAGGAACCAGTGGTTGAAGAGTTGGAAAAGAAGGTAGATGACATTCCTAAGGGAGCACCTAAGGTAGAACTGAAAGAACTACCTTCAAATTTTAAATATGTGTTCCTTGGGGATGATCAAACATACCCAGCCATTATAAATGCGTTGTTGTCTGAAAGGGAGGAAGTGAAGTTGGTTGAGGTGCTCAAGAAGAACAAGACAGCCATGGGCTGGTCATTTTCAGATCTCAAGGGTATCAACCCTTCCTTCTGCACTCATAAGATATTGATGGAAGAGGAGGTCAAACCAGTGAGGCAACCACAGAGAAGACTCTATCCCACTATGAAGGAGGTAGTGAGGAAGGAGGTGGTGAAGTTGCTTGATGCTGGCATGATTTATCCTATTTCAGACAGTGCTTGGGTGAGTCCAGTTCAGACAGTGCCTAAGAAAAGAGGGATCACTGTTGTAAGGAATGAGAACAATGAACTGATCCCTACAAGAACAGTCACTGGTTGGAGAATGTGCATTGACTACCGGAGACTCAACAAAGCAACAAGGAAGGACCATTTCCCTATTCCATTCCTAGACCAAATGCTGGAGGGATTGGCAGGACATGCCTTCTACTGCTTCTTAGACGGATACTCCGGCTATAATCAGATAGCTGTGGCCCCAGAATATCAGGAGAAAACGACATTTACTTGCCTATATAGAATCTTTGCATACTGGAGGATGCCTTTTGGCTTATGCAATGCACCAGCAACTTTTCAAAGGTGCATGCTTTCCATATTCTTTGACATAGTAGAAAGATGCATTGAGATTTTTATGGATGATTTTTCTGTATTTGGTCCTACTTTTGATGCATGTCTAGAAAACCTGGATAGTGTTTTAAAAAGATGCCAAGATTGTAATCTTGTGCTGAACTGGGAGAAAGGTCACTTCATGGTGACAGAGGGTATTGTTTTGGGACATAAGGTGTCCAACAGAGGGATTGAAGTGGATAAAGCCAAAATCTCTGTTATTGAGAAACTACCCCCTCCCATAAATGTAAAAGGTGTGAGAAGTTTTCTAGGTCATGCAGGGTTTTATAGACGCTTCATAAAAGACTTTTCCAAAATTGTAAAACCTTTATGCAAGTTGTTAGGGAAGGATCA